TATTCTTATGTACCAAACAATCACTTCACATTTTGCTTATGTTGGATGGTGTTGTTGAAAAGGACTCGTGTAATTCATTGTGCACGTTGTTTTGAGAGTGCTGCTATTGTTGCACACATGTTAAATGTTCTGCTATTGTGTTGAGTCAATGAACTACAGGGACCTGTGTAAATTTTGTCCTCGTTATTTTATGATTATTTTATATATGGGGAGACCTGCAAGAGACTGGTGTAAAGTCTATTGAGAGCACACGTTTATGAGTATTCGGTTGCGCAAGAAAAGTTTTGTATAAATCTCATTTAAAGGCCATTTAGGCGTGTTGATTGTTTCAAGACTGCGGTTATATTTTCGGGACATGATCAAAGTTATTTTGGTAATGGATTGTCGACCTAAACAAAGTATTCGTGACATTTCCAAATTACGATAAAGATCTGGAATCTGCACCTGCTAAAATTAATGGTACTGGTTTTTCTTTTCGTGACTAAGAAATCCGCAAGGACACAATTCCATCAGGAAAGACTGTGTTGGAAATAAATAAAATCAAGAATTAATTTTTACTTAGCCTTTACATGTGCCTTGGTTCCGTTTCACTTTTTGCCGACTTTCGATCTGTAATAAAGATGAGAAGCAGAAATTACTGTATTTAATTTGGTATGTGATATTGAGTGTTTTTTTTGTAGTATAAGGGTGACAAACGAGCACACAGTCCACCTGATGGTAAGTGGTTGCTGTGGCTCATAGACATGTAGATCTATCCTAGATTACGAATCAATATGCAAATGCGTTGTCACCCGTGAGGACTAAGATAGAATGCCTCATTTTCAGTAAAAAGGGTCTCCGGTTCTCTACACTAACCATACGAAACACAGTTTACACACACCATACGAACATCAGTTCTTAGTTTTTTTGATTACAGAACCTCAAAGTGATATGAAAGTACTGAACAAGATCCACAATTAAGTAAAACGCTTCTCTCGTGTTGTACAAAGAAAAGCCACAACTGTGCTCTAAGCATCAAACAATACGGTATTCAGGAAAACGGATGTAGTTACGAGGAACGACTGTAAGATTGCAACATAAGTTATAAAACGATTCTTTTAAACAACTATCCTTGGACCACTACATTTTTAAATCAAAATTATCAATTATTTTAATTTACATATTATATTAAGGATTAAAGTATGCAAATGTCGTTTTATATGAATAAATTCAAACACTAACTTTTCTATACGAAGAAATGTATTTATTTAAAATTTAAACACATAATTTATTTTCACTATTTAAGGCAAGGCATTTAAGGTTCGAGGCAAAATTATTTATACCTTTGCTTTTCTATTGTTAAAAATCCACTTTGCACCCACTTATATTTTCATTCCATCAACGTTAAGACATTTCATATTAGCGGCTTGACAAAACGAAACTCCGATTTTAAGGGATTTTACCATTCATTTGAAATGCTTCGTTATTCTGTTTAATTTTCTCTAAAGAAAATGTCAACTACTTAGCCTATTTTATTTTTGTATAATTTCTCTAGTATTTTAATAAATACTAGATATATTATATAGATCTACGTGGTAGAGCCATGCTACAGCTGTATTAGTAGTATAGTTGTAGCACGAATGGGTCGGCTCGGCCGGGGAAGGACCACGCTCTCAGAGAATACCAGCGTAAAATAGCAGCTCAACTGTATTTCGTGTGGTCAGTCTAGAGAACAGGAGACCCTCTTTACTGGAGACAAGACATTCCATTTTAGCCCTCAGGGGTGACAACGCATTTGCATTTTGATACGTAATCGAGGGTAGATGTAGATGTCTATGGGCCACAGTAACCACTTGCCATCAGGCGGATTGTGTGCTTTCCGAGAAATGAAGAAGAACTAAATAAAGCATGGCGAGAGGTCTGCATCTAAGCTTGCCTGCTATGTAAAGTGGATCCTATACGACAAGCGTTGTCAAACGGAAGATGAGCCAGAAGAAGCTTATGGTGATAACTTGGTAGCTTTATGTCATCTGGTGCCACATTTACTGCGGGCCATTATTGTCGAAAATTGCAAATGATGGTGAAGAAGCTGACACTCAACATTCATGGATTGCGCCATTTCCTGTTTCATGACAAAACCCAGTCATATACTGCACAACAAACGATAACAAAATTAGCAGAACTAAAACTAATAACCTTTCCTCACCCACAACGCCTTTAATATGTTCATCAACTCTCGTGAAGCGGTCTTTTTACCTAACTGACTGGTCTATCAACTAACTGACAATAAAATAGCAAAAATGTTTTAATAGATCGGCCAAAGATTTTGATTATTTCCTTTTTTCTGCCGACTTCCAAAAACGGTACTCAATTCGACTGTCTGTTTTTTTTTATGTGTGTTACCTCATAACTTTTTGCTGGGTGAACCGATTTCGATGATTCTATCTTTATTTGAAAGCTGATACTTCACATATGGTCCCATATGAATTTGATCAAGGTCAGACCAGTAGTTACTGAGTTATTCTTAATAACTTATATTGAAGTCGGCTGAACAAAATTTTTAATTATTTAATATTATATTTCAATGTTTCCACATAAAACGGCATTAATAAAATTCGCAAGTAAAGGCCTAATATATTCAAATAATTTGTTAATTTAAAAATTATATTATAATAATTTAATAATTTGTTAATTATTCAAATTTATGATCGGAGTTGGTTGAAATTAATATGAGACCACTATTAAAATAATACCACTTCTAATAATATTTCTATAAAAACAACCTACAACATCGAGATATTATTTTACAGAATCAAGGGCATACTACAATTTCGTGTATAGGATAAATGAAAAACAAATATGGCCTAAAAGCGAGAGTTCAGACGTAGGAGCAATAGATTATTTTTAAGTATCCATTTCATATTCACAAAATGTACAACAGATATAAATAAAAAATTGTACATGCCTCCTAAAAATCTTTTATCTAGTTATATTCATCCATCCATCCATTACAGTCTACAAAAGTCTACATAAATTGCCTCATAGGGGCTTTCGCCATACTTGCCACGCGGGTTGGCAACCGCAGTTTTTAAGTATTTTGAGTTGTTATCGGGAAAATGCTGCAACCCAAATCCTGTTAAATATATATGTTATTTTAATTTCTCTGCTTCAAATATTTTTAGCATATTTTATTAATATGTATTGTTATAACTAACATTGTAACAACAAATCTAAGGAATATGTTTTGGCGTTAATCATTCCGCAATAACTTTGCACAAGCCTACTCACAATATTTAAAATAACCTTTTACGTAAACCCAAAGAATTATGAAGTTATCTATATTTTATTACAACATATATAGTTCTTTATCACTAATTCAAGTTCGAATCTTTCAGAAAAAGCTAAATATAAAAAAATTAATCGGAGTCAACTATTTTGGCTGACGTTGTTTCAATGATATATCGCTATGTACCTTATCGAAGTGTTTGAATGATTAAAATTCATTGTTATGTGAATAATCGGTAAAAATAGTCAAATAATCGGTAGAAATGTTCAATTAATCGAATCTTGAAATGATTTATTATTTGTTATATATCAATATCCGGAATCCATCTTGAGTCAAGCACTAGTCTTTCCGCCTTTCCGCCTAAAGTCAGCACTTCCGGCTACCTTACCTGCCTGGAGGGGGCATCTCACCACTGTTTTTGCTTTGTTATTTAAGCAGTGATGAGCACCAAGTCTCGTCATTATAGCGTTGTTTTTCGCGCTATTCACAAGTCAGGCTTTCGTAAGCACAAAATGTTTCAATTTTTCTAAAATTAAAAATAGCTACCCTACTGAAAAGATTATGGAGGAACAAAGTGTCGACGAAGTTACATTATTAAATTTATTATTTGATAAAATAGAAGAGCTATTTTCTAAGGAATCATCATATAGCAAAGTAACTGAAGATTTGTTTCAAATAGTTTGTGGTAGACGAGCGGATCTAATTAGCTTACGCCGTGGTTCATTACTTCGACAAATTCCTGAAGAAGATCATCGCGAGGTTTTGCAAAAAATCCCTCCTAACGTAGAAACTCTGTTTAACGACGATTTCATTCAGACCTACCTTCAGAAAATTGGAGGGACAGATAAATTAATCACTTCATCCCGATCAATGCCTTGTACTCAAAAAGAATTTTATGAAAATCAAAAGCCATCGACTAGTAAACAAGCTGATGATACATTTTTTCATCGAAACAATCCCTCGAAAAGAGGAAAACGAGCACCCCGCCTATCCAACCAAACAAATCGAGATAAATCGGGCAAAAATAGACAAAGAGGAAAGAAATCGCAATCGCATTTTTCCTTTAAAGATGATCGTCGTAAATGACTCTCAAAAATTTCATGGCGGCTGTTTAAAACAATTTCAATATGTTGGGAGCAATTTAGGCGCGCCGGAACAAATATGCAGACTATTAAACGGCTCATACATCCCATTCAAACTCAAGCCACCTCTAATACTTCCAAATCCATTTGTGATTCAGAGCTACAGGACCAAAACTTCCTTTAATATGACTCGCCAAATTCAAAGTATGTTAAAGTCCGGAGTACTCGAACAGGCGGAGCCGAGTGCCAGCTTCCTTTCTACATTCTTTTTGGTGCCAAAACCAGACGGCAGCTACCGTCCAATATTGAATTTGAAACAACTGAAGAGGTTCGTCAAATCGAAACCCTTCAGACTGTTCCGTCACTTTTGAGTACCCACCTTTCTGCAGCATTAGGATTTGATGGCAAAATTAGACCTAAGCCAAGCCTACTTTCACGTTCCGATTGCTCGGCGTTATCGAAGATATTTGAGGCTGAATTGTCCCATCAATTCAAACCAGCACCAACTGCTTCAGATGACCTGTTTACCGTTTGGCCTTTCCTCTGCGCTGAGAACGTTTGCCTCAATAACAAACTGGGTAGCAGAGTTTCTCAGGAATCGGGGCATCAGATGTGTATTTTATTTGGACGATTTCCTATTGGCAAGCCAGTCGATGCAACAACTACAAGAAGATATATCTTTAACGATAAAGATCATGCAGTTACTGGGTTGGACAATAAATTTCAAAAAGTCCGTGCTGACTCCGACACAGTGCCTCGAGTTTCTCGGCATAACATGGGACACAAAACTCAATGCAAAGTCCTTATCGGAGAAAAAGTGCTTAGCGCTACGCAACGCACTTCAGCAACAGCTATTAAAACTCAAGTGGTCCCTCAAACAGTATCAGATCTTAATGGGGAGACTCAATTTTGCCACTTACGTAACCCGGAGAGGTCTGCTTCACTGTCGAACACTGCAATACTTTAGTCGACAGTTGTCAAAGGACCACCCTTACCGCCAAGTGAGTATTCCACTACCAGTGCAATCGGAGATGGAATGGTGGCTACAAGCTGTAGGTCAATCTGTACCGATACACACGAATGTAGCACTAACTCACCTTCTAACAACCGATGCTTCAGACATCGGCTGGGGCGCGCAACTCGGCGATATAAGTATCGGGGGGACCTGGACGAAACGGCAACTAACCTGGCAAGCAAACAGAAAAGAAATGTTCGCAGTTCGTGCAGCGATATCACACGAACAAAAACTGCTACAGAACTCACAAGTGCTTCTTCAGACGGACAATCGAACAGTGGTGTCTTACATAAACAAGGAAGGCGGAAGGAAGCAAGTCCAAAAAGCTTCTCGAGCAAACTCTACAACTACTTTCACTTCTAGACAAATTCAATATACACCTTCAGGCCCAGTACTTTCCAGGCAGATTCAATGTCGAAGTGGACGCCTTATCACGCCAAAGGAATTGCCCCGAGTAGCACCTAACAACAGCGGCGACATCCAAAATATTTCGAATGTGGGGCACGCCGGAGATAAACCTATTTGCATCGAGTACTGCTCACAACGCGTTTTGTCACCAGTGGCACTACAAACTAGCGTGTTTATTCCCACCACCTAATCTTATTCCCAGAGTCCTAAACCGTTTGAATCAAGCCAGCAGACTATATATATTAATTGCCCCGAAATGGAACAAGGTGTTTTGGCAAGCAGATGTTCAACGCAGAGCTCTACACCCCCCTTATCGGATTCCAGATCTAGTCCACACTCTAGTAGACACGAGAACAGGCATACACCCTCCACAGATTCAAGACTTGCTCTTGGAAGCATGGTTGATTTTGGGCGGCAAGATTTGTTAACAGAATGGACGAATAAAGAACAGAAATTGTTAATATCAAGTTGGCGAGGCTCTACGATCAACACATATAAAACTGCATGGAACAGATGGAAAAAATGGTGCGAGTCTAATTCGGTTAATTATAAATATCCTCACCCAGAACAAGTACCCCGTTATCTGGCACATTTACATTGTGATATAGGTCTTGCTTACAGAACAATTTTAGTACATAAATCTGTGATTTCAACATTCACTCACTTAACTTCAAAAGTAGATTTATCTTCAAATTTCATTATAAAACATATGTTAAAAGCAATATCTATGGCCCGTACCAGAACAGTAAAGCCACCAATTTGGAATCCTAAATTTCTTATGCAGTATATAAGTAAATATAATCTTAATGAAAACAATCTGTATGAAGTATCTAGGCATACTGCTACATTATTACTTTTGGCTTCTAGTCGGACAGTTCACGACCTCACTTTGTTACATATTGACAATAACAGTTTAATAAACGACCAAAGTAGCATAATCTTATGGCCAGCTTTTGGTTCCAAAACGGACAGCATTAATCATAGACAGTCTGGTTGGAGGCTTAAAGAACATCCTGACAAAAATTTGAATATTATTTTCTGGATAAGACAATTACTAAGTCTAAAAATCGCAGAAAGGCTATAAATCATTTATTTATTACAGCTAGAGGTGACGCTAAGCCAGCATCCCGTACTGTAATTGCTGGGTGGGTAAAATGGATTCTGAGAGAGGCGGGTATTGAAACTACTCCTGGTTCAGTAAGATCAGCAGTATCTTCCTTAAATTGGTTAGAAATTTTTTCTCTAGATAAAATCCTTGAGACTGGTAATTGGAAAACTGTACATACTTTTCAAAACTACTATAAAAAAGAACTAAAGGAAATTGAGATAAATAATTCTGTCTTTATCAAATTATTTTGATGCCATTAATTGATTGATAGAGCAAATATATTAGTTGTATTTATTATTGTAATTGATAAAAGCAAAAATTATTGTCATTATGGCCAGTTATAATCAAATAATCTAATTGTGGTATAATATATAATTTTTGTTTGTTGTGTATCTCTTGCAATAATTCTTTTATTGTTTACTTTACACATTATAGCGTTAATAACTATAACAAATTATTAGCACTAAGTGATAACAAACACGTCACTCAAGATGGATTCCGGATATTGATACATAACAAATAATAGAGAGTTTTACCATAAAATAAAACTTACCTATTATTTTTTAATCAATATCCGGAATCCAAGTAAGGGCTACCTGGTGCATCATGAGTGTCATAATGACGAGATCTGGTGCTCATCACTGCTTAAATAACAAAGCAAATACATAAATAACAAAGTAAATTTATGTAGGCAAAGAAATATCATATGCAAAGCCGTGCTGAAAAAAAAACACTACGTAATTCCAATCTCCCGCCATTTTGGGAGTTTAGTGTGCGTACTTTTGTGATTTTGTGTTTACCTTATTTTGTGACTCGCTATAACTTTTTATAACTCTTATTCGTTAACCTTGACAAGTTATATACATAGGAATATCATAAACAATAATATCTCGTATTACTATTTATGATATTAGCTAAATAAGAATATTCTACTGCGGCTTAGTTGCATGAAAGCTTAGTAGATGGCGGTTTATACAATGGTAGTCTTTGAGAACCTTTTTAAAACGCATGCGCTTTCGATATTAAAAATGATAAACGCAAAATAATTATGTGGAGAGGCATGACATAGCCTCATTAATAATATAATTTTTTTAAGAGAAATGAAAAATATAACCAATTGGGACAACGTCATATTCGTTGATGAAACGTTGACACTACAGCATTTTGCTCGAAGGTTGTTTATTAGATTTCCAATCGAAGAGTACAAGAGAATACGATGAGGAAATGAATGCAGAATAATTATAATTTAAAATAAATAGTGTTGTACAACCGACATCAAATTCTTAAATTATTAAGAATAACTCAAAAACTACTGCTGTTGTACGCTTTAAAAACGTTACCCCCTAGGATTTTCTCTTGTATCGTGGAGGCAGTTTACAAATATAAATTGCACGAGGACAAACATCCAGACCTGGAACAATTATCCTCATAATGAGCTCAAAATAATAAAAAAAACTACGGCTGCTAATGCGCCTGCCAACGTGGCAATTATGACGAAACCCCTTATGAGGCAATCTATGGAGGAGGCCTATGTTCAACTGTGATCGTTGATAAACTGTAATAAATGTTGATTACCAAGATAACGAATTCTTTTATCAGCTTCGTCTGTCAGCGTAAAAATAAGAAGTGCTGCAAAATGAAACTTTTTCTTCGTTTTTGTCTCTACAAAGTTTTGTCTTTTGTAGATGTAAAGTAACCCTCTGGTACAAAATGACCCTCCAGTTTAAGATTAATTGCAACTACATAAAACTTTACTTAGTAGCGTAGTCGACTAAGTTTAAGAAACTTGTTTTATCAGTACAATAAAAAATAACATGGAATGCATATAGACGAAAATTTTATAAATTAATTTTATCTTTTTATACATTGGATCCAGTTTTCTTATCGCTGTTTTATTGTATAGTAGTTGCCACCGCCACTACCACCAGTATTAATTAAGGGGTGAAGATGCCCAGCACTGGATTTTAATAGGGTTTTAATGATGATGATTATGTGTATTTTAGTAAACTCGTCGTTTTTTAATAGGGTTTTAATGATGATGACGATGTGTATTTTAGTAAACTCTTATTATAAGGTGTTTATAATAAAGGAGTGAAATTTAAAGTTTTTTTAACACTGTTTACGTAAATAGTTTTTAGTAAATAGTTGTTGAAATACCAATTGTACTACTAATAGTAGGATAAAATAGTTGAAAAAGTTGTAATGTAAAATTATAAGTAATATACATGTATATTACGTATCTATTTGATAAATTATAATGGCAAAACGTTGTTCCTATTATAATTGTTGCAGGAATGGATGCTTAATGAGCAATTAAAAGGATTCAGATATATCATTTTTCACGTTACCGAAGGATAATGAAAGGTGAATTTATTACATATTTAATTTTTTGATAGGTACTTAAAATTATCAAGTACTGATATAAGTAGTAGGTAGGTAGATATGGTCAACCTCGAAATTGTACACAATGTGTACAAATCTATACATAAACTATCCAGATATTTCGTAGCGAAAAAAGAACTAAGGAATAATTTAACTACAGAAGTACCTAAGTATTTAATTACAGAACTTTAAATTAAAAATGTATTTACAAGATTTTTAACTAAGTAGAATACGTTTACATTTCTGCTAGGAATCGTATTTCGGGTTTATTTGTTCTTTACACTACCTACATATTTTTTCGTGCATTTATTACGTACAATTTCGTTGTTCGTTTGGTTAACATTGTCTGATTGTATGCGTTGACGAGTTGCAAGTAGCAAGTTGCAAGCATTACTGATGTCACACTTTGAACCGAGCTCTTAAACAGTAGGTCAAATACCGCACCCGATCTGATTGATATAGCAAAAACTATGCGGAAACGTAAGCTTTCACCTGCTGAAACAGATGTACTCAGTAAAAAGATTAAAGCGATCAAAGCTTAACTTGTTAGAAAATAATAATGGAAGATTGACCACTTACCGCAGTTACAAAAAGAAAGAATAAAAAAACGCTTAAAAATCGAATTCAGTTAAATTTTCTAACTACAGTTTTTTTTTATGTGACTTTAATGTTTTATTTCCACTTGTTCAGTTTGCTAAGCCCCTTAAAATTTCTTTCAGAAGTTTCCCCAATTTTATGACGTTATAAGATACAGACTAGTACTCTTTAACGACCAAACTCAAATGCATGCGAAGCACTCTACTTGTGCACGTATGAGGTTTTGATGACTGACTTGGCAAATTAGAAAATCCAATCCCCTGATCCTGATCTAGGTTAGTACTATTATATATTATTCTGTGTTCTAAATTCCACAGATTGGTGAAAAACAGCCGTAATTCATTTGACCCCATGGCACGGACGGGGATATGTGTCTGCTCGTTATGTCAAACGGGGATATACTTCTCCCCGTTGCCGTGCTTAGTCATAAGGACAAGATAATTTTATCTCTTGTCAGTGGATATAATTTTTTGTCCCCAGCCCATGCTAGCCGTGCAGGGAAGTATAATAGGATGTTTCCTCTTTTTGGTGTACATTAATGATTTGCCTAAAATTATAAAGGAAAAGGGTGCGGATATATACGTGTTATATTTGCAGATGATATGTCAGTTATATTTATTACCTGTGACAAATGAAACGGCAATAAATAATCAATTAAACTGCATTCTTAATTAAATTGTTTCATAGCTGAAAGGCCACAAATTAACAAAACTAAATTAATGATTTAAACCATATTAAAAATAGCAGTTTAGCAGCATCAAAAATATACATTTTTCGAATTATAATATAAAACTAGTGTGTACAAAATTTTTTATTGTTAAGAATGAAAATAGACAGTAATCTAAATTGGAAAAGTCATATAAAATATGTGTTAAATATCTTGATTTATATATACGATCAATGACTTAAAAAGGTCCACAAATACAAATAGAGCCTACAATGCGTATGCGCACGCGTTGTTGCGCTACCGTTTACCCTTGTGGGGAAACTGCACAGACATCCTAAAACTCTTTATCGCTCAAAAAAAATGTAAAAGAATTTTAGCAAACATTGATTGAAACAGGGAAAGCTGTAGACCATATTTAGCAAGTTGTGACTAGGCT